TTTTTTATTTTTTATGTGTATATGTAATATAATTGCTTTAAACTTGAGAATTAAAAAAGAATTCACTCAAAAAACTGAGAATGATGTATAACACAAAGGTTTATTTACATATTTCATCTCGATCATGTCGATAATAGAATACATGAAAAGTATCAAATTATACAAAGAGACATGTAATGAATATATAAGGCACAAGGTTTCATCGCTGAATATTATTTACATTTATTCAAAAAAATGCCTTCGAATACGTTAAGCTTGTCCATATAAATGATGTCATCATAACTATCATCGTTAAAATCGCCAATACCTAGCCAAGGGATTATATAACCCTTCTCTAGTAAAAATACCGATTGTGTTTCAAAATGTCCGTATCCATCCCCAACAAACACATGTACTTTCTGAGCATCAGCAAAAACGATGTCTAAACAATGATCATCATTAAAATCACTGACAAGCATTTGATGTTCTATGAATGGAGTTCCTATGTGAAATTTCGTGCTGCTATCCACACTTCCATTACTATATCCAACCATTACGTTAATAAAATCACTCTTTTCATAGGAGACAGCAATATCTATTAAAGTGTCACTGTTAAAATCGCCCACAACTAAATGACTTGGATCGTAATAGTGGCCAGTGGAAAATGTCTTTTGTATTTCAAAACTTCCATTACCGTGCCCAAAAAATATACCAATATTTCGACTATATTGATTAACGACAGCGATATCTTGACAACCATCACGATTAAAATCAGCGACAGCAATATCTATCGGATAACTATTGATTCCAGTATGGAATGTCATTTCTGCAAAAAAAGTTCCGTCCCCCTTTCCAAAAAATATATGAAGACTATTCTTAGGAGCATTTGTAACAGCAATATCTAAGTATCCATCACCATTAAAATGATTCCTGATAAAGTGCTTCCTTCTTCCAAATGGAGTGTCGGGTTCTTTTTAAAAACTCCATTACTATTCCCGAGTAGAATGAATACATATTCAGTGATTTGGCTAGTACATGCAAGATCGAGTCGATTGTCATTGTTGAAATCGCCAACAACCATTTTGTCCATATAATCTAGTTGACGTGTTAATGACTCAATCTCTGGTTGAAAATTTTCGTTACCAGTCCCAAGCAACACATTTATACTCCTTGTAATGCGATTACTACCAGCAAGATCGAGTTGATTGTCACCGTTAAAATCAGCAATAGCGTATGCATACATAGTAGACCAAGAAGAAGGTCTCTTAGTTGATATCTGTTGAAATTTTAATGAACAAGTTGGTTCTATGATGAAGAAAGAAATAAAGTAAGTAAAATTTATACCAGAAAATATAATGGAGCACTTTTAAAACAATTGATAATAGAGAACAAGATGATATTCATCTTAATAGACGCTTAAACAAACTTTAAAATTTAATCTTCAGATATGTCTGATTTTTCTTTCGATTATTATAAAAATAAATCTAATTTACTCACTATGTGTAGTTCGAATTGTTGTTATCATACTTGTTGTTACTATAGGTGTTGTTGAACTATTAACAGCATTTGTCATGATATTTGTCGATGTGTCCATGGTAGTACTTGTTATTGAAGAAACTATTAAAAAGAAATATTTGACAAACATTAAAATAGGCACTATTCTTTTTCATCTGAATTTTTTGTTCTTTTAGTTTATACGATACTAGAAAAACATCATACCTGTTACTATAAGTGGATTGTTTTCTGGTCGAGCAATATTAATAGAGAATAGAAAGAGAACTGCTGTTATTGTTAATAATAGTACACATATGAAGATGATCTTGAAATGATATCGAACTGATACGATGGAATTTGTTCTATTAATGAAAGTATCGACATTTTCAATGGGTATTGTTTCAACGGAGTAAATAGGTTGAATTGGATTTATTCGTTTCTTTCGATATTGATAAATTTTATTAATAATTCGAATTATTTTAGGAGAAATCCACTGAAGAATAATTGTGAGACCACCTTGTAGACCAAGTAGAGCAGTTATTGTATGGAATAAATTGAATTTTTTAATATATGTATACGAACATATCAAAGGAGAACATTGCTCGAAATAATGGGAATAATTAATTGTTCTTTTCCATTCTTCAATAAACAAGTTTTCAATAAGTTTATCAATAGTAGTGTTTATTGAAAATCGACTAGTATTTGTTGTTGAAAGAGAAGCAAAAGAATACGTTAAATTATTATTAATATTTGTGTATTTTTGAATGAGATCAATACATGATTGATTATAAAAACATTCAAGAGTTGATTGAAGAAATGATTCACTTGGTGTACAACCCATTTTTAAACCGTTAATTGGAATGATTTTAGAAAAATTTCCTTCGATGAAATTCGCGTTAGTTGTACAATTTGAATATAATCCACAGGAACATTTGTTATCATAAAACAATGGTTTAGTATATGCATAATGTACATTTTGTACAATGAAAAATTTCATAGGAATAAAATACTCAAAATTTGTTCCGTAAGTTGATACAAAAGCATTTCCATGGTTAACATTTCGAATTAAGAAGAGAAGATGAGTAAATGCTTTATGAGCATTTGACTTACTTGTTTCGATTATTGAATCGATATGTGTATTGAATTTTGTTTCTGATAAAAGTTTATTAATAATAAATAATGAAGAATAAAATTGTTGAATAGCAATATGAACTGTATCATTAGAAAGTTGACATAAACCAGTTAGAAATTGTAAATGTGCAGAAATAAAACGACGATAATCTTCTTGCAAATAAGCAGACAAATCAGAAGTAAGACCAGATGTTAGATGAATTCGACCTGCATTTGAAGCGAATGGACTTGAACAAATCTAAAATTATAAAACTTGACTTTCTATTTTAAACAGATCAGTATAGTTTTGTCTTACCTGATGAAATACTGTTTCGACTGTGACAAATCGATTGTATGTTGATGTGATTGATGGACATGAGCATTTTAATTCATCTTCATAACGTTGAAAAAGATGATTATATAAATCGAGAGATGGTTGATCAAATTTTTTCGTCAATGTTTCAGGCTGAAAGATGATATAAGCAGCGAGAACACTAATACCAACTATGAGCAAAATCATATATAAACGAGTAGCCCATTGACCAAGACGTTTAGCTGTCGTTCTATCAATATTACTTCCAAAATCTCGTACGAAGAAAATGTTTAAATTTACCAATTTGGTGTACAAATATGTTACTAGTTTCTGTATGATTATTTGTAATTGACTGAATATGTTGTAACGAACTACAAATACTTCTTCTTCCTGCTCTTGTTGTTGTTGGTTACAGATCTTTGTCAATAAATAAAAGATAAAGCTGATCAGTTTAGGTGTAAGTAAGTGTAAACAAAGAGTAAGACCACCGATCATGGATAATAGTTTTATAATTATTTCAACAAATTTTCGACGAATTCTCTTCGTATAAGTACAATAATTTGGTGCACATGATTTGTAAAAATGATCATATGAGAAAGATGGATTCCATTGTTCGATCATAATTTCTTCGACTATTGTTAATATTGAAGTATTCGGAGGAAAACGACTTCGTATTGGATCATAAATCAGGGGACGAACATCAAACCATGTTGGATGTTCAACATTCATCAAGTATTGTTGTCTACTGTAATTCATTAGGATTGAGAAACAAGTTGAGTTTGAATAGAAACATTGTAGCGTTGAAAGTATTAGAGATTCTACAGGCGAACATCCGAAAACCAAGCCTGGCACTGTGTAACGTAGAGAAAACGTTGGATGTACTGACCATCCATTATCAACATCATAAATACCAAACGAATGCTGACAATCAGTATCAGTAGCACAAATACAGGCGAAGGATGTTGAATTTACATTGCGAGGTCCAATCAATCGAAATGTTAACTAAAAACAAAAGTATAGATCTATATTACATGATCAATCATAGATGGGCATTAACAAGACATTGATGATGAAATACCTGCGATGCTTTTAATATTTGGTTGCTATCTATCGTGAATTTTCCAACTAGATTTTCATCTTCTTGATAAAGTTTAATATGTGTCATTGGTACAGAATAAAGTTGATCAATTTGTGTAAGAATTTTTACTGTTTTAATAAGAAGACTAAAGTAAGTAATTGTCGATCGGAAAAATTCATTGAGAGTCGCATTTAATTGTACATTAAAATCATTTTCAGTCAGTACATTCGAAACAATGAAGGATTGTAAAAGAAGCCGTTGAATAGCATCTTCGATTGTTGTATTAGCTAGTTTACAAAGATCTGATAATAAATGAAAATGTGAGTGAGCTATGTTTCGCCAATCGGAAGAATCATATCCAGTTGTGATGTCTTTCAATAATGAAATCCATTCATCTGTAATAAGATCACTTGAACATATTTGATGAAAAATTGGAGATAATAAAATGAATTTTTCATAAGGTAGTATTGTATTAGAACATGGACATTCGAATTTTTTCAAGGACATATCTCCTAACTTCTTATATGTCGTTAATGACGGATTTGGATCAGTTTTTATGACTACTTCAGCACTCCATGAAGTGTAGAGAAGAATGAAAAATGAACCTAATGATACAAAATCAAAAAGAAAAGATTAATACCAGGAATACGCACGATTCAGAAAATGAAAATTCAAGGGTAATCAAGGATGTGGACGTACCTAAGTATGGGATAGATATGATACTAAAACTTACAAACTAAATACCTTAAACGTATGTGGAAAAAGTAAACTTACCAGTTAGTAAGATCAAATAGACACATGTACTAATCTTTTGTTGTTTGATATCGGTTTCCATTCGTCGATCGGCTACCTTAAATAAATTTAATCGTTTGATAAATTGACCAAATTTACGTATACAAGTCATAAAAAAATCTAAAAATCATAGGTAATTTCTATATAGAATAACAATATTTTCATTTGATTCAAAATATACTCGTATTAATATTTGTGTTTGTTGAATGATACTTTAATTTTAACCAAATATTGACTAAGAATGGTGCAATCAATCGAAGTATTATAATAAGACCACCATAAAGACTAATGAATAAACTAATTACAAAAGAATAATTCATGTAATCTATTGCGGTGTATGTACAGTGCGAAGGAGCACATTCATCAAAATATTTCGAATAGTTCATTGTTATTAACCATTCATCAATGAAAAGATTAACTAAATGATCATTCACAGATTTATTATCTTGCTTTGAAGGTAGAGTAGAATTGGTCCAGTTAATATGTATCTAAATAAAAAAGATGTCTAACGAAAGATGAGATAGTATTGTACATACTTGGGTGATATTTGGAAAGTAGAACATCAATAATTCAAGACAATCAATACTGTATAAACAATCGAGTGTACTTTGAAGTAGAGCTTCAAACGGAGTACATCCAGCAAAGAATCCATTGACGAGTGTGGCATTTGGTACTAGGAAATACGATGGCAAATGATATGGATTTGGCTCTCTTTTTGAATCGGAAAAGAAACTAATTGGAGCAATTGGATTTCCAATGCTACAGTCCATCGTTGTTGGCTTCAAAGTACTAGCAATTGAATGTGCAATATGTACTTTTCTATGCAAAAATACATAACCACGTTCAGAACTAGAAAGTTGAATGATGAAATTTGTATTGAGACTCGAAACTAAGTGATTAGCTCGAATTGTTGCTCTGAGATAGTTTACCAATAGCATGATTTGAGTAGATGCATGGCTCTTGAAAACTTCTAGGGTAGCATTTATTTTAGATTGAATTTGAACGTCAGGAAGAAGATCAGTACTGATAAATTCATTATTATCAAAATCAAACTTATTTTGAGAGATTACGTCTTCAGACAACGAACAAAGCGTAGCCAAAAGATGAAACTAAATAAAGAACAAGTTCATTAAAATAATTATCTATAAATATACCATTCAAAACAAGATAGACAGATATCTGTAGGCTAATCAGATATAGTGCTATACAGCTACCCTGAACACAGTATGCAGTACATTGATTTAATCAACTAATTCGCTACGTTCTTTTGAGAGTGTAAATAATATATTATATGAACAAACATAATTTTACCTGAGAATTAGCTGTTGATCGAAAATCTCCTGTTCCATATCTACTTGCATCTTCGAAATATAATGCTTGAATCCATTGTTCACTGACGAAAATACTTGAACAAATAGGATGGTATGTGATTGTATGATTCACAAAATCTTTATACGGTATAGCGACTTTCGAGCATGGACATGAAAGAGTTTCACCATATTTAAGAAAAGTTTCGTTGAAAATCACAGGAGTAATATCGAGTACAGTGATTGTTCGAAGTTCTGGTTTCATCAGAGCAGTATAACAAAGAATGTAGATAGAGACTGCAAAGAAATATATAAACAGAGATATTATCAACATTTTGACAAGATTGAGGGTGTGGGTGTTTTACTTTTCTTTTATCTACAGTCATATTTACACCCACACCCACCCTCAAGATGATAACTGTGCACTACAAAGACGAACAATTAATGTCTTACTTACCCATAATAAGAATAATATAAAGCCAAGTTGTGTATTTTTGTTGTTTAAGAACAATTACTGGATCTCTTTGTTCGTTGTCGTCGTCGTCATCATAATCATCTTCTTCTATTATAAAAAGATTATAATTCCATAATCGCTCTTTAATATAATCAAAGACAGCTTTAAAATTGATCATTTTGATGAATTAATGAAATTGTTGTAGAAACAATCTGAAGATTTTATTCTAGAAAACAAATACTATTTCTAAGTCAATAGATCCTTTCGAAATATCTTGAAATGAACATTGTCAAACTGTGTATTATTGATTATACTTGTAGCATAATACTTGAGCTGTAACAATTCTACAGAACTCGTCGACTAACAAATATCACACTGGTCTTCTCGGTAGATAGCACAATTCAATCAAATAACATCCTAAAATCTATCTATATTTTTTCAAAATGATATAAAATATCATCTAACTTATTCTCCATGAAAATGAACGTAACAGAACAAAACATTTTACTCAAATACCTTGTTTTTCTTCTTTCAGCAACCTTTGCATTTCCTTTTAGAATAAGCGCTGATTTTTGTATATGTTTTAGTAAAAGCTAGGTAGGATGTTAACTGAAATGATTCGCCTCTGCATTATTCTTATCGTCTCTATTGATAATAGATGTTAATTCACATCTGTCATTATTTTATTCAAAACTAAAAAAAGGCAGTGAGCTTAGTTAAATGTTGATTGCAAATTTTCTTGTAGAATATTTTACGATGAAAAAAATCTTGTAGACAAAGCAAATTTCTTGTTTGACTGAGCATTATTTTTTCTAATCACACTTAATCATCCTTGTATTATTTTAAAAATTTCGTAGTCCATTATTTAAAAATTTTAGTATGAGAAAACTTGTTGTTGTTTAATTAGCCCGACACAGTAGAAAGAGATGATTTTAATTTCTATACGATTTAAAAGAAATAAAAAGACATATAATAAGAGTCTATAACTTATTATAATTTGAGAGAAAAATATAAATTCAATATTGTGTTTTTTCTTTTTTTTGCTTTGGTATGGATCATTATTTTCCATTATTATATAAAAAGTGCGCTGTAATGCATTATGATTTATTATTTGTAGCAATATTACAATTATTGATTATTAATTATATCAATGAATTGTAATCAGTTGTTTAAAAAGAAGGGGAGGGATCGTGACTTCCTGAAATATTCAATTTTATAATTTCATTCGATAGAGCATAGGTTTTTGCATATATTCTGAGATTTTCAGCCGTACTCTGTCTGAAGTCGCTTCAATAAAGCAATGTCACAAGGTCTAAGTTTTAGTCAAAATTTCGACTAGGGATTCATCCCGTGTTCTCCAAATCGTGAGCACAAAATAAGAGATAAATACAACTATTTTTATATTAAGATATAGAGAGAAAAAATTGTCTATCGATTGCATACAGAATCGAGGTTTCGACAAAGACTTTTCGAAGTAATTATCGTAAGATACTGCCTGAATTTTTCGGATTTAAATGATTATGAATAAGTTTGGGCAGATTTATTTTAGAAGATCTGATAGAGAATTTCAAGTGCTACAACTTTTCTATTGACTAAATTTATCAGTGTTCTTTGAAACACAAAAACGCCATATACTCTTGATTTTTAGGAATCGATTTGATTTAATTTAGCTACTCTACTTTGTTCATTTAGTGAAAATTAATATTGCATATACCTGACAGTAGTCTAGTGATGTTTAGAGATTGAAAATGTTGAATACATCATTTTTGGGTATGGATGTTGGTATAAGTGGAATAGATAGGATAAACCCACACCGTAAGCGATAAATCTAATCGTCTATAAAAGATCTCATACATTAAAATCATTTATATCAAAAAAGAAAAATTATTAATTTATGTGATAATTTTCGTAGGCTTAATTACGATAAGAATGAATATAAAATATTAAGACAACAACTTGAACAGATCAGAGTTCTATCAAGTTATCAGTTATACGAAACCAAAAAAGATGCATTATTACATCATGATCATAGTGAATCCACAAATTATCCTATTTCCTAATGTATTTGAGTGTTATCGACAGGAAATATTAAGTGACTTAGCAACAGTTTTAATACAATCGAAAGAGAGAGAATAAAAATAAGGGATGATATAAAAAATTTATTCACAAGAAATTAAAAAAACAATTTTATATAATGCTGGTGTTTAATAAAAGAAAAAAGTTTTTGAAGGTGATTATATAGTTCAACCTTGTAATATCATCAATCGTCGTTGAACTTGAATAAAAGAACAACAAATATTCTTCATCACGGTTTCAATTCCAAAGTAGATTTGAAGATATTTGAGATGTACATATATAACCACTGTAGAGATGCATTATATCTCAGTATCACCTCGGATTTCACCATGTAGATGAGCAAATGCGATTGATTTACAACTGAAAGAGAAAGAAAGTTAACAACTTTCATTTTTTACTTTCTTTATTTTATATTACATAATAGACAATTTATTATATTCAATAAAATATGCCAATTTCCAGTGGTTTTTCACAAGATCCATATCCAGATGCGAGTTATTATGTAAGAAATATTCATTACTATTTAAACTTGATATTTATTTGAGTCGATGTAGGTCCGTAAACCAGGTAAAACAGAAATGCTAGATGAAGCAATCTATTACAAACGTGATGAACCTTTCGAACGACCTGTTGAAGTATTTTTATAAAGTTTATTTTCTAATAAAAACTGTCTTAATTAAGATTATTCATCGACCAGTTGTCAAAGAGACAATTTTTATGCCTGATCGTAGACCACCACCATTAATTCATACTCGAGATACATATGTAGTAAGTAATCATATTATTGTAGAATTCATTTGTATCTGTATGGTAATATAGGTTTCTCCTCAGCCAGAACCAATTGCATATACAACAACATCAAATGTTGCACCTCCAAGATCATTTGATCTTATTCCGGCGTTAGGATTAAATGCTGATTGTCCATGTTGGTCATGGATATGTATTCTTTTAGCTTTTCTCGTGTTACTTGGTCTTGTTGGCATGTGTTTATATTTTATTCTCAGTATGATTTTTTATTCTAGATTGATAAAAATAAAACATGTATCTATTTTAATTTTAGAACGTTATGATTATATCTAAGTGGTATTTCTATTATCAAGACATTTATAAAAAAGCTTTTTTTTTTATTTTTTATGTGTATGTGTAATATAATTGCTTTAAATTTGAGAATTAAACGCATGAAGCTGTATATCGTCTATCAACCATTGGCGAAACTTGAAAAATTAAGATATTTATCATTTATTCTCTAACCTTTTCACTTAATATTAGTATTGATTATTTATTTAGCAAACAAACAAAAAAAGAAGATTGAATAGGAAGTAAAAAAAAGAGTTCTACATGCATCAGACCAATAGTTATAGAATTAAACAAAAGAAAACATTATACACACGCCAAAAAAAAATATCTGTAGAAAAAAAACCACAAATGATAAACAAATGAATATACATCTGACAAAATATTTTTCATTGATTCATATTAACAAAAGATGTTTTTTTATCTGATATAAGCACAACATGATGAATGAAATATTAAGATAAATAAGAAACACTGTTTTAATGCATGTATATATAGATATATATTCTTATTTACTAGAGTTGGGATTCAACTAAACCTGCATATTGAGATTCCGATCTATCAAAATTATAATTTGAATCTATTCCATTGGATAGATGTTGATGAGATAAATGATTCGTATCATTAATAATAGGAGGAGTATGTGAAGGTAAAATAAGAGTTCGATTTGATCGATCATGATTTGTATGTTGAACTTTTGTTTGTCGTCGAGGATCAACAGGTTGATTTGGTTTCATTATATCTTCACGATATTGATAATCTTCTTCATAACCAGTAGGAAATATCATTTCATCTTCGAATTCATCAACAATTGCTGGTTCATGAGGTGATGGTCGATATATTTGTTCATAAAGTTGTCTATCTGATCGGCAACTATCATAAAATGGATCATTACGACGTAATAATGTTGATGACATTGATCCATTTCCGTTGATACTTCTCAATGGTGTTGAATCAACTAATCGTACTTCACTATACATAGGTGGACCAAGTTGTGATCTTGAATCAACCATATCATATGGATCATAAGTTCCATTTGCAACAAAACTTTGATGTTCATCTTGTTTATCTTTATAACAATGTCCATTTCCTGTTAATGAACCATTACGATGTTCCATTGTATTAAATAATAATGCTTTATTTCTTTCAGCTTGATTTCGATTTGTTCGATGACAACGAAAAATCCAACAAAAACATAATAATATAAGAAGAAATAAAAATAGAAATAGAAATATTCCAATAATCCATAGCAGTAATGAACTATCAGTTAATGATGTTGTTCGTCGAACATTTAATTCATATGACAGATATTCATTATCTGAACGTCCTTGATTACGTATAGCAGCAACACAATTATAGGTTCCATTATGTTCTGAACCTATATTAGATATTGTTAATGTTGTTGTTCGATTTAAACAAGTTGGAGATAATATATCCATTGAAGTTAATAAACATGAATAACGAATTGTATATGAACCAGTTTGAATATCAGGTTCATTAATAGCTGTTACCATTTTACCAATAATTTTATTTTGAAATGTCCACCAAACTTCAGGTCCTGGATCAGAATAAACCTAAAATAATAAGAATTAATAAAATGCGAAAATGATATTTCTTTCTTATAACTTACATCACATCGAAGTGTAGCAATTTCTCCTAGTGCTACAATAAAAACTGTTACATCAGGTTTTGATATAATTGGTCCACAAACAAATTGTTCATCATGTAATGTCGTCATTTTTCTATCAGCTAAAACTTTTGGCATTTCACATTGTGGTTCATCATGAAAAATTGGATATTGAAGACGATTTAATCCATTACGTAACCAACGAAGTCGACAATCACATTCTAATGGATTTGAACTTAATTTCAAATGAAAATTATTTGGAAATGTGATATTATTTATTAATGTTCGTAACATATTTGAATTTAAAAATAATTGTCTTAAATTAGTTAAATGATTAATTATAGACATATCAACATATTGAAGATAATTAAATGATAAATCAAGTTCTTGTAAATGATTATATGCTCGAATATCCGATATTGTTAATCGACGAATTTGATTGTGTGATAAAATTAATTTTCTAAAATTTATAGTTTGAACGTAAAGCATAAAGAATAGAGAAAGATATACATACATAAGGTTATTATACTCGTCATTCGTATTTGATAATTTCGGCATATATTCAAGTTCATTATAGGATAAATCAAGATATTCAAGTGCTCGTTCAATTAATGCTAAAGAACGATTTTCTATTTGTTTTAATTTACCATTTATAATATATAAATAACGTAAATCACTTAATTGATAAAAAGTATTTCCATATGTAAATTGAAAAAGGCCATTTGATAAACTATGAAATTGATGATTTTTTATAGTTAAATTTGTAATAATACCACCACGTCTTAATTTTAAATCTGATTGTAAATTAAGTTGATCATGTATACATTGTTGATAATCAGAAAGTGTATTAACATTGTCACATGTCATTGTCATACCTGTATTGTCTAAATGGCATGAGCATGACGATAATTGACTATGTACTATTAATGGTAAGTACCAAATGATAGTTAATATAAATAATTTCATATGAACAATTAATAGAAATTTGAATAATATAGAACTAGAAGAGAGAGAAAGATATTTATATATATATATGGTCTTGCGTAACTATTGTAGTAATAAAACGTAGACATGCAATTCTTATTAAGTAGCATATGTACGATATATATATAGTACTATATAAAAGTAATAAATTGGCTATAGCGCGCATATATATAGATTATCAGATTTTCTCGATGGACTAAACTATCATCACATACTGTCAATATTTACCTATGAAATACGAATATGAATAATTAATACTTTCTATGTTAATCTTATTTTGAAAAGAAAATAGACAGAACAATACATTTGACTAAATTTAAATTGACAACAATATACATACATTCAGTGTTTTATAAATAGTAAAAAGAAGATCTGATAAGAAAAATGAAACGTCTTGTCAACAAACTCATTTTGTTGTCGTATATATATGCATGTTTATAGCAACTATTTTTATCTATAAATTGATATGCTTGAGACTCTAACACCATTATCATACTTAGATGCATTCATTAAATAGAAAACACTTGTATATTTCAATTGATCTTAGTTAATCGAAAAATAACAGACAAACACACTTCTCTTATTATTCGATAAAAACAAATTATTATCGAAAGGATAACTATACGTTTTTTTTTCTCTCTTCTCCTATCAGTGATGACCATCTCTAGACAATTGATAATTATGTATGTTCAATGAAGTGACAAAAAAGAAATCAAATTCAATCATGTGATTTAAAATATAAAATAGATATAATCTATATAGATGTATATATACTCACATAGTCTTGTCTCTACCACCACCATCAACATGATGCTACTTGATAATTCATTCAACGTCGTTATTTTACGTCTAAAAAAGAAAGAACAAAGAAAATATATGCAACATTGTCCGACTGACTGACTGAATGAAATTATCTTGAAACAAAGCCACTCAATATTCTTCCTGATCAAATAGAGAGACAGTCATTTAATGTTAGAGACAGAGAGAAGGCAAATTTCTTTTCTCCTTTCCATTACTGCACTCATGAATGGACAACGAGAGTAACAACAGATTGATCGACGATCGAACAGAGGAAAAAAAAGAGGAAAAAAAAAGACGATTGAGGGCAACACCTTCGAGCGGGGTCACAAGACAGAACACAACGGTATAAATCAGAATGAGCGAAAGAAGCAACAAGAAGGTTACAAATGATTATCAATATATGTCAAACGGATATGTTGTTCAATAAAAATCGAGTACTTATTATGTCTAGTCTATAGATGTTGATGATCCTTGTCTTTCTTTTAATCATGACCAGATCAATTAGTTGTTGAATATAGGAAAAACACATATGGACTGTTAATGAGCAGCACTTGCGGCATTATCGTTCTGTATTGTAATGTTATTTCAGATCGATTCATAAACAGTAATGTTCAAGCGTGTGGAATACAAAGATTATCGTCTGTCTATACGTACAATGGTGCCAGATGGACATCTCGTGTCGCCGACGACTAGTACACCATCTGAAAACAAGAGTAGATTGAATTCAGATGTTGCCAATATAATTAACTTTTAGTTGAATTATAAAAAGAATCAAGACAAGAGAGACGTAAAAGCATTGTTTTATGCAATAGAATTATATTTAATCAAGCTTTTATAGACGATGATTATTATTAACGATGATGTGATGGTTTCGTTCATGATTAAGAAAACGATGAGTCGAGTCACTGGGAAAAGAGTTCTTTTTTTTTTGCTTGTTCTTTTTTTCGGCTTGAAATAATAACAAATCAAATATATGACATGCGAGTAATCATCGAGTAGCAATATAACAGTCTCCTCTCATATTATGCAATAATGAAGCGCTCTTATGGAAAAAATGATATGGAAAATTGTTGATGATAGCGGAACATCACTAGTATGGATGAATAAGAAAAAAGATGATAAGAGATATTATATATGCATATTGTTTCATACGTAAGTCAAAAAGCGGGAACGTTCAATCGTATAACAAATTGCTAGTAGAGAAAGAAAAATACGCGAAGAGAAGAAGAAGGAAAGGAAGACAGACAAAGAAGTTTTGGCAACTTTTTCCCATTGGTTATTCATTTCAAACAATCAAATTTATTTGTTAAAGAATAGAATTTTTTTCACTTTTAAAAGAATTCATAATATTATTTCATAAAGTTTCAATTAAATTAACTGCATAAAAATATATTTAATTCTTTTAAAAAGCGCCATCTACATTCTCATTGATACTGATTCACTTTTTTTTTCTGGATTTCAAAATGTGGTATCGACTGCTAAAACTATTATTTCAAATTACATTATTTTTCATATGGACTTTTACATTAATTTATCTTATATTTCTTTCAATCGTGGTTTTTATTCTTTTTAATATTTGTTTAACGATATTCTTATTTTGGTTTATTTTAACACTAATTGGATGGTCTATTGCCTTGATTCCTATTCTAATATTTGTTTTTATACCATGGTATCGTCGACAATGTCGTCTATGGACAATAAACAATCGACAAAGTCGTTTAAGTGTTGCTTTTTTTCATCCATATTGTAATCATACAAGTGGTCGTGAACGAATTTTATGGTCTACGATTGAATCTATTCTTAAAAGATATAAAAATGATATACAAATAATCATTTATACAGGAAATATTAATATAGAATCAGAAGAAAACATTTTTCAACATGTTCATCAAAATTTTGATATTAACATTGAAGATTATAAATCTTCAATTACATTTGTCTATCTTCGTAGTCAATTTTTAGTTGAAGAAAAATATTATAAAATATGTAATTTATGGGGACGAAATATCGGTTCAATTATTGTAGGCTTCGAAGCATTAATTCGTTTTATACCTGATATTTATATTGATTCAACTGGTTATGCTTTCACTTACCCAAGTTTTTATTATTTTGCTTCAATTCCGATTATATCTTATATACACACTCCTACAATTACTAACGATCAACTCGCACAAATTAATGAACAATATCGAACAGATAAATCCTTCATTAATTTAATAGAATTATTATATTATCGAATATTTGGATATATCTATGGTTGGTGTGGAAGATGTTCAAATATTGTCTGTTGCAATTCCTCATGGACAAAACAACATATTAAATCTATATGGAAATCAAAGTCTATCTATCTTCTTTATCCTCCATGCGATGTAACACAATCTTTAGAAATACCATTTATGAATGAAAATAAAAAAATTATTTCCCTTGGACAATTTCGATTAGAAAAAAATCATGAATTACAAATTCGTGCATTTTATGAACTTTTACAAAGGTATATTAAATAATTTAGAAGTTAATTTTATCAAAAACAATTTATTTATTTAGAAAAAATGAATATCAACAACAATTAAAATTAATATTGATTGGTAGTATAAGACATAATGAAGATCAAGAATATGTTAAACAATTACAAATACTTGTCAATGATTTAAATCTAATGGATAATATTGAATTTAAATCTAACATCAGTTTTACGGAATTAAAAAACGAACTTAATCAGGCAATAATTGGTTTACATACAATGCGAAATGAATCTTTTGGAATTGGTTAGTAAAAATATAGATATTAAAAACTATGCAGAGGAAAAATATCGATTGTCTTTAGGGATTGTCGAAATGATGGCTGCAGGTACCATTGTTGTTGCTCATAAATCTGCTGGTCCAAAAATGGATATAATCGATGAAGGACATACAGGTTTTCTTGCGATTGATATCGATTCCTATGCAACAAAGATGCAACAAATACTTGAAATGAATACAGATGAACGTCGTCAAATGCAAGAAGAAGCATGTAAAAGTGTTGATCATTTCAACAAAACAAATTTTGAACAATCGTTTATAGAACTATTTGATAAGATTATATATATCGAATGAAAAATCTTTTTCTTTTGTGATAAAACAAAAAAATAGTAGAGAAAAAAAGAGATAGATTCTTTTTTTTTGATATTCTTTTAGATTTAAATATGGCATCAAAAGTAATTGGAAAATGTGAAAAAGATTTTATTATACAATGTTTACGAGATCGTCAAGTATAAAATTTAGATTAAAAAATTAAAAAATAAATGAATTAATCTTTTTTTTAGAGACTTGATCATCGACTTCCATTTGTAACGCGTGATGTTAAAATTGATTTTCGAGAAGAATATGGTTCAGTTACTGTATCACTCGGTTTAACCAAGTTTGTGAGTTGTGAAAAATTAGTTTGTTTATTTAAAATTTTTTTCTAGAGTATTGGCTCATACATCATGTAAAGTTGTTAAACCAAAAGAAACACGAGCAAATGAAGGTCGATTAAGATTACAATTAAAAAATAGCCATACAATGATGTTTAATTTTGAAACTGGAAGGTAATGTTTTTTTTGAATTAAAATAACTAAAAAAACAATTTTTCGTTTCTTTTAATAGACAAGCTCAATGGACGACGCTTATGAGTCGACAATTATTACAAAATATTCGTGATTCTGGTTGTGTTGATATGGAATCATTATGTATTCTTGCTCATGAACATGTTAGTAATACGAATAATTTTATTGAATTCATTGTAACTTTTTTGAATTATTATTTTAAGGTTTGGGAAATTAGTGTCAATTTACATGTATTGGATTATGATGGAAATATTCTTGATTGTGCTAATTTAGCTGCTCTATGTGCTCTTGCTCATTTTCGGTAAGAATCCAACTGTTAATCTATTGGGATCTATTTCTTTGTTTTCCGTTTAGATATCCAGCTGTAACAGTAATTGGAACAGATGTTCATGTGGTAAGAATGAATCAATGAATATAACGAATTTCACTGCTCTTGTTATTTAGCATTCAACTACCGAACGAAATCCACAACCGATTCGTATATTACATTTTCCAATAATAATTAGTTTTGCACTATTTCAAAATGGGTATATATTTTGATTTGAAATAAAATCTTATTTAATTTTGCTTTTATTTTGATTTAAGAGAACATATGTTAATCGATGCATGTGAAGCTGAAGAAAAAGTAATGGAAGGATTATTTGCTGTTGGAATGAATCAACATAAAGAATTAAGTACACTGACAATGCTTGGAGAAATCTGTTTAAGTCGTGATCAAGTTTGTTTAGAAGAATTTTATTTAGTAAATGTATATTTTTCGTTGTTGATAAATTTAGGTTCAAAATTGTATCTCATTAGCACATCATCTTGTTCTTGAAATAACGAAACAAATACGAGCTTCATTAGAAAAAAATCGAGAAGAACAATTAAAGTTAATTCAAGCTATTAATCATCGTTGAAAAAAATATATTTGTTATGTTTTTTTGTTGTAATACCAGTTTGGTGTTTATTAATAAAAGAAAAAAAATTATGAAAGAATAAATTTATATTAATTGAAATAAGTTTTCTATTTTCATCGATATATACAAGATCAGAATTGACAGAGGAAGTATTCAGTTGTTTTTCTCTTCATTGATGTTGATATTCGAAGAAAAGTACGTAAAAATTATGCTACAGAAAAAATAGAGGTATACCATCTCAAATAATATTTCTATATATTAAAAGTAAATATGATCTTGATGAAGTAGATCATTCAACAAGCAGCTAGATGTTTATTACTAGAAAGAAAGATTTTATTCAATATCAATTATTTATCTTACTAATCGAGTCAGGCATATTATAGCGACCTGTCTAAGCATGGCGGAATTAGATTTTCTAATGTCTGGTTCTCGGTTATTAAAAAGTTGTTGACATGAGTTTGATCGTGATATGTGTTCAGGACAATGTTCTTAGTCACCGGTGGACCGTTACGTAGACACGTCGATAGATGATAAAATTGCTTGTATCATAAATATATCAAGTGATACCAATTATTCATTGACCATTGCAAATAAAGATTCAAACATATTTATCATCGTTATACGGATGTTTATTGTCAAATGGATCATTTACTATTTTTTTGTCTTTATCACTTCACACATAAAAAACAATCAAAGATGGCTAATCAATCGTAATCATATCGTTCTTTCATCACAATATTTTGAATTATCATTTTGAAGGGACAAAGACATTGCGCACTAGGTATTCCGAACTACCGGACATATAACTAGTCTTAATAGATTCGAAAGTAAATGAAACTAAAAAGTTTTATCACCTGTAGTTCAAGACAAATATATCATTAGCCTTCTACACGATCAATAAATCCGTTATGAACTAACATCGAGTAAATTGTGAATTTATAGTATAATTTTTTTCTATTCCATTCGAAAGATAAATATGATATTTTCAAAGCAAAAGTATAAACACATCTGACTATATTCACATTCATTGATATAAATCCCTCGTCGATCAAATATTCATTATTAAATAATTTCTTTTATTTTTTTTTGTTCATCTAAATATTTAGCTATTCTACCGACTTTTCTATTTCGTAACGATGTCGGCATTAATAAAGAACAATAAAATAGAAGAATAAAAGCAGCTCATCTTTCGTTTATTAATCAATAACGATTGATACATTGATGTATACAACACGTGTCTTCTCCACAACACATTTATCATGAGACGAAAAGCGAACAAGTGTTATTTTGACATTCCTATTAAAAACAAAAAGAGAATGTATATAAATACCTGATCAATTATCAAGATCAAAAGTTTAATGATAAAACAAAAATTGTTTTTCAAGAGTATCATATATATATTCAACTGACTTTTACGAACATTGTCTAATGAAGTGATATACGGATGATTGGCAAGCCAAAATAATGCCGTTTCGCTTGTCTGCCACTAGATCTAAATAAGACGAAGAGAAAAAGAGAAAATAATGATTTTTTGTGAATACAAATGTGTGTCTTTTCAAATGTCATCGAGTCAATTTACTTTCTATATTGCAAAGCATCATATAGTTGTCAGTAAATGATATTTGATCATACAGTTTCTTTAAGGGCAAGGATATATGTAATGCAAAGAAAACTTAATAGGATTTTTGCAACAATATAGAATTCTGATTTTTCATGGCGATTAAAAATGACTTTACATTTGTTGATTGGTCTACTGTCTTTTCCTATCCACATGTTTATTGGTTGATATATATCAATATATCGTATATGAGCGTTTATTTTCTTTCACACATTATGATATGATAAGTTCATGTATTGGATAAAAAAATAGAAGAAGAGAGAGAAAGAATTGATTATCTCTTTTTCTTCAATAGAGAGAGAAGAAACAAAATTTCAAGTGATTGCTATTAAAACGAGAGAAGAAAAAAGGCTGCGTGAGAAATACAATTAAAAACAAGCAATACCAAAGACGAATTCAAGTGAAACGAAGTATAACGGAAAAACCAAATCAAATCAAAATACAAATACGGGACATCAAGCAGAACCAAAGTTAATCAATTTACCTGTATTACCTATTATTCAACTAAATGAGTATGTAAATTATTTATAGATGAATGAGATAGTAACATTACAAATATCTGCTTTACAAGCAGATAAAACGATGTATTACTATATCATTTAGTTTTACAATATAATAATATCGTTAGGTTATTTTCGGATTATGACTTCTACTTCCCTAAATAGATATATTATAGTCATTAATCATAATAATCGTTATTTTTGTTTGTTATTTACTCAATCCGAGTATGATTTGAAGGAAATAATATCACTAGATGATCGATGATCGAATTTCATATATACATACAATCTTGTTAAATGGATAAATGTATCATCTGCTTAACAGAATGAAGTGCTCCTACTGTGTGTTTGTGATCGATGATAATAGCTTCTATGTGTTCTTGAAATATTTAAATTTTTTCTTTTAAATTTCTAGTGGACTATTCATTCGATGATGCAAATTCAAATCCAAATTATGGAGAAATTAATCAACTTGGCGGTATTTTTGTCAATGGTAGACCATTACCAACTCCTATTCGTTTACAAATTATTGAAATGTCGAATTCAGGAGTACGTCCATGTGATATAAGTCGTCGTTTGAAAGTTTCACATGGATGTGTTAGTAAAATTCTAACTCGTTATCATGAAACAGGTTCTGTATTACCTGGTGCTATTGGTGGAAGTAAACCACGTGTAACAACACCCAATGTTGTTGGTCGTATACGTGATTATAAAATAAAAGATCCAGGAATGTTTGCATGGGAAATACGTGAAAAATTATTATTAGATAATATATGTGATAAATGTAATGTACCTTCAGTATCATCAATTTCACGTATTCTACGTAATAAAATCGGTCCGTTATCACAACCATATAATGATAATGAAGGAGGAAATAGTGAACAGAGTGATTCGAATTCATCAGTTAATATACCATCATCTGATGAATTCACATGTAAAGTTGAACCACCAACATGGCCATCTTATGATCAATCATATCATCATCGTTATCTTTATCCAACTGTTAGTTATCATCAACAACAACAACAATTTGAAACAGCTATGAAATCATCTTATATAAATGAAAATTCCGAAAGTAATTTATCACATATTGATCATTATCAAAATTCAACTATTAATAATACAAATAATTATACACCATTTTTTAATACTTTTCCTTATACTCAAACAAGTCATTTATCTGGTATGATACCCTATTATTCTTCATCTTATGCTTTATCATTAGCACCACAAGCTTCATAAACATAAAAGAGACAGTTAGTTTTCTTTTTTTTGACAATTGTTTTTGTATTGAATGTTCTGTTTTCTCTTCAATGATAATAAATGATCAGATTATTTATGAATCTATCTCGTATTTATCTACAAGATATTCCAAAAATATATATTATTTCTATTCTCCATTTTTTTTCTGATAAGATTTTTTCTTCGATCTATGATTGACAGTAGCTGATGGTGTTTGTCTGTTGAACGTGATCGGCAGTAAGCAGGTGAATATAAATTTTCATTGATAAGTGTGAAAAATCAAAGTCATTAATCTCAGATAAAATGAACTATCAGTTGGCATACATATGAATTTTTTGTTTTCGATTAAAAGACTAATCATTAGTACAATATGTTTGTTAAAAGGGCAAACATTTATCGACTAAAATGAACATAGTGAAGATAATACAGAGACTATCATCACCTGTTGAAATCATATTTTGCTTCATTAATAAATTCAACTGATTAAAAAATTTAAATTAATTTATTTTTATTTATGTAAATATATGAAAAACGAGAAAAGAGAACAGACGAGAGTGACAATACACAATTCGTTTTAGAACAAATTATGTATACAGAATGTGCATAAGAAAAATATTGACGAATTCGTGTGTTCATATATTGATTTTATCATTCGTGAAAGGCATCATTGAACTACAACAAAGAAATCGAAAAGAAATACATACATAGATACTGAAGATTGACAACTAGGTGCGTCACGCCCCTTATTGACTAGAGTGAGTTAGAAATGATGGTGCACATGTAAATGTAATCATTTACTTCAAAGACACCAAACTCCGGACTCACACAGTCAGTTTCAGCATCTCACTACCTTGGCTAATTCTAGTTTGTCTCAGTCAATTGATAGAAAAATACACCCTATTTTCAACCTCAATGTCAAGAAAATTGTTAGGGGAATCTCTCAAAAATATGAAGTATTTATTTTTTTGATTGATTCAATTGCCCGCCCACAGTTACTGTTTTTGCATTATTTGAATCACTTAAAAAACTTATATGTTTTTGTGTAATTGTGTTTTTTTGTTATTCGTTTTTCTATCCTTTTCTTTTTAGACTTAAAACAAAAAGTTCAAAATAAATTGACCTATCGTAACTAAATTTACTGTTTTTATAGAATATTTCGTATAGATTACCTTATAATTTAATTATTTATGTTGCTCGCCGCACAACAGTTGTTTTACGTTGTTGAGATGAATTTCCACTTGAATTTTTATTACGTTCAGTTCGATATCTATTTAAATATGATGGGCGACGTACAAGTTCCAATCTATATTATTAAGAAAATACAATATGTTTTAAAACTCAATTATTAATACGAACAATTCTTCATCAGGTAGACGCGTATTATTTTTACTACTTTGGCGATTTCTTGGTGAATATGCCTAAAAATAAACGTATAGAGATTAATTTATAGAAAAGATATCTTTAAAAGTGTTTACTTCTTCTTCCTCTGGTTCATCTTCTTCAATAACGATAATACGTCTTCCATTTGGCTGACCTTGTTTTTGATCACGTTGATATAATTGTTTTGCAAGTTTATCATTTTCACGTGTTAATATTTCATGATGTGTTCGTATTTTCTGTGTTTGTGTACCATTGTATGGGCCTCTATTTATTTTTTTATATAAAAAATTATACGAATACAAAATTAAGAAATATTTACCTAGTATTTTGTAAATCACTACTTGCTGATGAACGTATGGATGTTTGTGAACCTATATATATATAATAGAAGACAATAATGCAGAATTTTTATTATCATATTTACCTGAATCATAATTTCGATTTTTAAGGGTGGGTAAATTATTAGGCGGTTGACCACCTAATTTTTTTTTTAATTGATAATTTTCATCTTTTAATTTACGAACTTCAAGTTTTAAACGATTAATAACATTTTGTTTCGAATCAGTTTTTACTATTGGAACATTTTCAATATTTTTTGCACGATTTGCATAACGTAAAGTATTTAAACTTTCATTTTCACATATTCTCGAAGGTGAAATACAAGCTATCTAAATAGACAAAACAAGAAAACGTAAATATAAAAGATAAGAGAATATATTACCATTAAAGCTATACCATGTCCACCTAAACTATCTGCTAAAAGTCGAGTTAGTTTTGATTCTCGATATGGTATATGACCAGCACGTTTACTAGGATCACTTAATGCAGATATACAAGTACCTAGAATAAAATTCTTATTTTTAAAAGTATTCTCTAAAAAAGACTTACCAAGTGTAAGTAAACTTTTATTAATATTATTTGTTTCAACAAGTTGTTTGCCTTTAGAATGACTTTGTTTTACTTTTTCACTACCTGCTAAATCAACAAAAACTAATTTTCCTTGTCGAGTCATTTGTTCATTTTCATCATTATATTCTGGTAGATCTTGTTCAATTTGAATTGAAAGCATAGCATGACTACGACTGGATGTTTCATTAAGTTTATGTGAAGCCATAGCTCGATTTAATTCACCTAGAATTTTAGAAAAAAAAACGAATAGATTTTTTGTTTTTTTTTCTTAATTAATTTTTTTAACCTTCTTCAAGTATAGTTAATAATTCGTCGATTGTTTCAATATATGTATGATAAAGATTTTCAACATAAAATCCTTCTTCAACTGAACCACGCACTTGTAAACTATCTGGATTGCCGGGACGTATTAAATCACGTATCTAAACTCAATTATTTATAGAAAAAAAAATCATTTAGATTATTTAATATTTATACTTGTTCATTATATATTTCACAATAAGACACACGAATATAATATGGTGAACTTGTTTCCATTGTTTTATCACGTAATCGTTGAAATAAATAATCTATTGAACGTGGTACTACACCAAGATTTCTTGCACGATAATTTTTATCCATACGAAACTATAGAATACATAATTATAATCTACTAAGCATAAAAAGAATTCAAACATACAATAGAAGCACCTTCAGCTCCAATCATTGTATGTGTTTTTCCACTACCTGTTTGTCCATATGCAAAACAAGTTGCAATATATCTAAATAGATAGTTTATTTTCGATCAAGATTTTTTTTCTGAAAATGTTTTACCCATCAATAGCCATATCAACTAAACGTTTAACACCACTATAATGAAATACTTCTTCTTGTGTTGATGCTTCGTCAAAGACACTATCAAAAGCAAATCGACGACTATGTTGACCTCCGTCAAACTGTTTTTATTAGAAAATTTAATTGATTTTTAATAATAATAAAATATAAACAAAAACAACATACCACAATAGAATTTTCATTAACACAATGTAATACTTTTTGTGGTTGTTTATCACTGGCATATTCTTTATTATTCATGGGTCGAACACTAATAACAAAAAAACAAAAATATCGATATTAAATATCAAAAATGATATGTAACGACTTACCGAATAATAACACGTACACGATCTTTATCAGAACTTGGATCATCTGTTAATGTATGTGTAAAAGTACTAAATTAAATAAGAATAAGATTTATTATTATTATTTAACAAAAGGTATATATATTCATTCTTTATTATATTTATGTAAAGACACTCGTTTTATGTATCGTATCACTAATAAAATGTGTCTCTTTATACCTATAATTAGTTGTGAAATTGTCTTCATCATTTGTTTGCTCAATGATGAATGTTTCATTTATGCCTATTTGATAAGCGTCATTTTGTGAATCTTCGACAATTTGATCTGTAGGTTTAGATTCAATAACATACATACAAGGTAATGTATTCTTTTCGATTGGAATTGATTCTGGAACCATAATCTGGTTATTATTATTACTTGTTGGAATTTCAGTACGATACGTATTGTAAGATGAAGAATGTAATGGGCTTATTCCTATAGTATAGGTCTTAACTGATTGTTTAGACATTCTATATTACGTTTCTTTTCTCGGTAATGATTTAAAGAAAAACACAGTATTTTTCAAAACGTATTTTTTCTTTTTTTTTCTTCTCGGGAGAATTCATATTTAATAAGGAAAAAAAAATCATGAATTTCTTTTTCTATATTCAATGAACTTATTTTTTATATTTCTTGTTAATATAAAAAAAACATTATCTATTTATTTCAATAAAATAAAATATTTAAGGTAATTTTTTTATAAATAATGGCATATGAGCAAATGTTAGAATGATTTTTATCTTCGATGATTAAAGAAAACGGAATATTATTTTGAATATATTGTAACGACACTTTCGAAACAGGAAATTTTTTGAGAACTCGAAAGAATTCAAATAGAAGTTAATTCACAATAACAACATTTTTTTTCTCTTTTAAAGGCACATGCTACCAATCAACCCATAAATGTACTTTAGAAAATAAGAAACACGATCGTCAATCAAACGACGTAAAAAGGATATGCGATAAAAGCAAAAAAATCAATTTTTCTTTGTTTGATTACGATAAGAATAATAATAATTAGGTGCATACTATACTCACGTGTTCTGATATACAACGGGAGGCTCTTGTGGAGGTGCACGTGCACGTACGGGTTGAGGTTGAGGTTGAGGTCTAGGTTTAGGAGCATATCTTACGACTGGACGTTCAATAATAATCTCTTCTTCGTCTGGTTCCTCCTCCTCTTCTTCATATTCTTCAGCTTCTTGTATTGGTGGTTCTGGGACATATTCATAACCGCCACTGGATGCTGCTTGTGCATGATATGGATAATAAAGATATGCATCAGATTCATCAGTTGTTGCTGCTAATTTTTGATTCTTTCGCGATGAAGTCGACATTTTACCTTCAATACTTTCTTATAATTTATTCAATCACCATGTGTATGTGTATATACGATGCTCTCTTTTTTTCTTTACTGCTACCATAACAAATACATCTTTATACATATTTCATCACAAACGAAAAAATTAAAATAGCTTTCACTCTCGTTTTCAGATTTTTTTGTCTTGTTCATAGAATAAACTCAATTAAAAGAGAAAATGAAAAGAACGAGCAAAGAAGAAATGAGAAAAAAGTTTAAGAGCATTTAAATTATTTGCGAAAGAAATCAAAATTCGTCATTTGAGAATGTTGTTATTGTTGTTACTTATATTCAAAACAAACTTGTTTTCTAACAAATAAATATTGCAGAAGAAATGAAAAAAAAAGAACATGTAACCTAAACCTATACTATGAAATATATACATAGAAAAAAAAAGATATTAACCGGGCTTGGCCGGGGATTGAACCCGGGACCTCTCGCACCCTAAGCGAGAATCATACCACTAGACCACCAAGCCATGTCTGTGTATATCACGATATCACTCTATATTGTGATACAAAGAATAATACTGGCATCAAAAATTTCTAGTTTCTCCTTCAAGTAATTACTCAATCAAATCTTTGCTTGTTCTATAATAATTTCTTGTTTCATAGGGATATATTTTTTTAATTTCTATGTTAACTACTATTCGATTAACTAATGAAACGATATTTTTTTCTATATTTATATATATATTTATTTTCCATTAGAACTGAACAAACAGTTCATTAAAAAGTAAGTTAAGTAAAGATAATTAAACACACATACAAATATAAAAACGAAAAAAGAAAAAAAACACAAAGCAACTGTAGTGAATATATCAGCATTTAGAATGCAATTATAAAATAATAGAAAATATTTTCATGTTATTTTAATATTGGAATTTGAATGAAATTTTCGTCGTAAATAAATATTCGGTAATATCGATGAAGTTGTTTCTTTTGGTGAAATTTTAACTTGAGTTTTTCTATCACGTAACCATGATCTTACATTAAATTTTCTTGGTATTATCGATGTTGATAAACGTTGATTTGTTAATAAGATTTTTGAATTCGTTAAATTATTATATTTTAAACGAAATGGTAATGGAGATAATTTTTCTAATTGATTTGTAATAGATTCAAATAAATCATTATTCGCATTAACAAGGACAAATGCCCATGATTCATAATAAGTTTTTAATATTGTACGATGTAGAAAAAAATGTGTTAACCATGAAGTAAGTTCATGAAGACTAAAAGTACAAAATTTCATATATATTTATTTTCTTCTTATGTCTTACTTAAGTAAATGATAAATAAATGAATTAAATTTTTCAATCCAATCAATATTCGATGATAATTCTAATTGTACTTTCATTTTTATTTCATTAAATCGACTAGTTGCTGGTGTTGTTAAATCAATTAAACGCCATAGATTAACTTTTCTTGAAAATAATGAACCTGCATGTTGTCGTAAACCATCTTCAAGTACTTCACGTAATAGAGGACAAAAATCTAGACGAAGTGTTCGATCTAATTCAGGATTAGTTTGATTATTTAAATAATAAGACTAACAAAAACAAAATATATTTTGGAAACAAAAAAAATGAATTGATTTTACCTTTGAATCACTACATTTAATTTCTAATATACGAAGAATTGTATTAGAAAATATATCAATTAGATATTTATCACTTCCTTTTTTAATTGGTAACGGTTTTATTACATCTGGTGATGTATCTTCAATAAAATTTACTAGATGTTCTTCAACTTCATCATCATCGTCATCATCAGAAAAATTAAATTCACTCGGAGGACTATCAGTTAAACTTTCACGTGGTATTAAATCATAATAATCTACGAAAAAAATTAAATTATTTTTCATTAAATTTTAAAATGAAAACAAAAATACCATCATAGTGATATTTTGGACTACTTGATGGTGTGATCAATTTTCGAGTAATTTCATTTGAAAAACTAACACTCTTCTTTGCACTAAGATCATGTTCAGATAATGTACATGTTTTAGTTTCTAATGAAAGATTTTCTTGTTGTGAAATAGTAGTTGGTGCTGAATAACGTCGATGTTCTGATCGATCATTTTTATTATGAATACGTTCAGAAGCTAATGTAAATATATCACCAGCAATACCTACAGCAAGAACATTTGCTCTAGTTGTTTCTTCGATTTTCGTACGTTTTAAACATGATTTAAGAGGACAGGACGATAAAGGTGTTTGAATATGACGTGTTTGATTTGTTGAACAATTACTAAAATAACCACTACTTGATGTACTCGAACATACAGAAGATGATAATGTTTCATTTTCGTCTGCAGATATCGTTGTTGGATTAGATTTAGCAAATTTATTTTTCGATAATGTTGAATGATGATAAGTAGAAGGTCGATTAGGAAGCTTAATATTGCAATAGAAAACAGTACGTGTAGGTTTTTTAATGTCTGATAATGGTTCGGATAATATAGTTTTCATCGGTGTACAAATGGATTTTGTTTGATTAGTTAGTGTTGATAATTGTGGTGGGTTTTCTTTCGCATAATGTGTAAGAAAATCAAGGTCAGGCAGTGAATAATGAGATATAAAAGATGATTGACTAGGAGGATGATTTAATAAATGATCAGTACTTTCTGAATGAGTGACAGAAGCTTGAGTTGTATCACAAAGAATAAGAGATGTTTGTAGACATTGATCAACATTACTTTTTGATTGTATTTGTTTCGAATTTATTAGATTTAATTGAGAGAAAGTTGTTGGACTTTTTAGTTTAATTTTTCGTATTGGAATTTTACGAGAATTTGAGGAAGACGATGATGATGATGAGGTTAATGAATTACATAAACTTTTATCACTAAAATTTTCATATAAACGACATGGATGTTGTTGAGATTTTGTACGTTGAAATAAATGATATAATGTTAGTGGATTAGGTGAATAATAATCACTATTAGATGTATTCGTTGATGAACAACTTAAATTTATAGATTTTGTTTTGATCGTTTGCCATGATGTTTGTCGTGTATTCAATGGTAATGTTGTATCATCAATATTATCGGAATCTAAATGCATTGACCATTCAGACAGATGTGTTGGTGGACAAATATTTTGTTGGTCATATTCAAATGCAAGATGATGATAATTTTGATTTCCATATAGATCCCAATGAAAACCATCATATTGACTTTCATGAAATGAAGATTTTATTTTTCGACAAGGACTTCCATATGATGAAAATATTGATCGATGACCACTAAGCCAAAGATCATCATCATCGTTATCGTTATCAATAGATGATTCTTGTTGTTTCATTTGTGAAGAATGGATTATTTTTAGATGATCATTAATTGAATCAAGTAATTGGGAAACTAATGTTGTTTCATAATATGGATTCAACATGAAATTAACTAAGAAGAGGAGAAGAAAAAAAAATAGATTATTTGATTCTTTTCTTTTTCTTATAATGATAATAATAAATGTAATAGAAAATGAAAATCTTATTATTAATACGAAAGAGAATAAGAATAAGGAATTTACTATAATATTTTGCGATGTTTGGATTACTTGACTTGCTATGTCTTTCCTCGTCAATGAAGATAGATGTAAAGATCGAGCAAACAAGTGATGATAGAAAGCGAAGACGAGTATGCAAGGCTTTTGATGATGATGACATTGACTTTCCTTTCGATGTCGAATAATGAAGGAGATGAGAAAGGCGGACTAAAAGATGATGAGAATTAATAATGATGATCTTACAGATGTTTTCTCAAATGGTTACTTTGACACATTCTAACCTTGAAATGCTTGACTACACATAAAGAAAAAACGAGAGGGGGGAAAACATTCTTTTTCTATTTATTTTATTTCTATAGGCTTTGGCTGATAATAAAAACACTTAATTGCTTTTTAGAAATACATGAATAAACACTTGAGCAATATTCTATCATATACATACCATTCTTTCTTACGTATACTAAATATACTGTTCAATTTTTTCTTTTTTGATATTACTTCTCTCTTACACATTAACAACCACTATTGGGCGTGTATACATTCATATGGTAAATAAATCATATTCACATATGCAAAATGTTCGTTCGCCCGTTCATTTATACACCTTATTTCTATAGCAAGGAGGTATAGGATAAATGACCTCGAATTTTTTTCCACTCAAATACTTTCACTCGTTTCATTTTTTTTTTTTTTGATATATTTTATATATACACTATTTAAATGAGACTTCTCGTTTTTTTTTCTAGAGAACTACTAACCGTATTTATTACATTGAACTTTTCTCTGATAATTGACTGATCTTGATGTATATGAAGGGGAACAGCTGCTGATATAACGACGAGACATATATATATATGGAGATATATTTACTTTATATTATTCGTCTATAATAATTAATAGAGAAAGAAAGAAAAGAAAGAGTAACTAATATCGTCTGATTATACAACTATGTACATTTATAATAGAAGAAAGAAGAAAGAACTTACTGAGTACCGTTAACTAAACAATATAATTGACATTAAATCATTTTTTATTTGATTTTAAATTGTTTATAAAAACGAAAGTGATCATAATTATCTATTTGAATATGGGCGTGTATCGTATTGTCTCAACACTTGTTTTTTCGTTAAGATACGGAATTTATGTGGTTCGAAGAAGACACAATAGCTAAAAAAATACTAATAGAAAAAGAGAAAAAAGGAAAACGAGAGGAAGAAAAAGAAAGATCGGCATCGGGCACTGGTAACACATCACCCGTGCCTCCAGTTGTTTGATTGAATCAAGAGACGATTCGTTATTTGTTCTTGTCTCCTTCTCTCTCTCTCTCCCCTCTCCTCCTTTTCCTCTCATTCTGTCGTATTGCTAATAATGGGTTATCTCAATCCATTCTGTTCTTTCCTTACTATAAAATTTAGATCGAATGTCCGCTAACACATTGTTATATTTTACCATGAGTCCATTCGTAATTCATCTGTCAAACTGATGACGAGAATAATTGAGAATATTGTTGTTCAATCATCATTCTTTTAACTCAATTCTCTTATCCCATAAGAGAAAAGGAAACGAACGAATATATACATCTATCTTCTTGTCTGTCTTGAATAAACAATTAGGGAAACTGAGTCCATTGATCGTTATTATTTTCTCAAGTAACCAATGTATCAATTTTTTATATTATATAAACGAACACATGTGTTAATCTTCAGCAAAAACTTATTATAATAATAGCCTTACTTGGATAATTTTTTGAGCTTTTTTATTAACATATGTGTATATATCAAGTAAGATACGATATTGAATATCAATTCTTTTTTTTTT